AATTATTAGTAGCATCCCATTTCTCTCTCATTCTACTTTTGTCAATATACCTCTGACTATTTGACATCTTCACTTGAATATATTATAGGCATCCCAAATTTAATACTGGATACTAAGCTCTTGATTTCTTTTTACCCATTTCTTTTCTTTCTTCCCAGTTAATAGCATCAATATCCACAAGTTATATAAGCCACTTACTTATCTAGCACTTTATTTTTTATTATTTTATTTTTCTTAGCTAATCAATCAATAACCTTTGGGGGCTCTGTATTACACATGCATTCCAAATCTAACTAATTCTATCTCTTCTGTTACAATTTTCATCCAACCCATTTTCTTATTTGAATATACTTTTAAAATCCCATCTCCACATCTAGTCGTCAGGTTGGTATTTAAATTAAATCTTGTCTCTTTTATATTTGAAATCTTCTTGCTGGATGAAAAACAAATAATTGGGAACAATAGTAGAATTAACTACACCACTAAAATGAACAAAGAACCTAGAATTTAGGGCCAAGGATATAGCTCAGTCGCATAAGTGCCTGTCTGGCAAGCACAAGATCTTGTGTTTGATTTTTTTTAACAAAGAAAAAGAACGTACAATTTATTGTGTGTCATTGTGTTGGGTTGTTTTTATTGGTTCCCTCATTTAATTTAAACTTTACCTCTGTTTTGTGGGTATCATTCTACATTACTCCAACTAAAACAAAACGAATGACCAAAATAAACAACCCCTCCGCAAAAAAAACAAGGCTCAAAAAGATTAAGATACTTAGCTTGTGAAACTAGTGTTAGAATTTGATTTTAATCCTAGTTCCCTTTAGCACAAAATTGTTTTTTTCTAGTCATTTTGTCACTTTGATGGTTAATTTATGTATCAACTTGCCTGGGTTAAAAGAAACCTAGTAGTTGGTTAAGCAGAATTTTTTTTCTTTTTCTTTTCCTTTCCTTTCCTTTTTTTTTTTTTTTGGTCTTTTTGAGACTGGGTCTCACTACACAGTTCAGGTTGGCCTTGAGCTCACTTCGTAGCTGAGGATGGTCTTGAACTTGCAATGATCTTTCTGTCTCAACCTTCCTAGTGCTAGAATTATAGGTGTGCACCATCACAACCAGCTATTAAGCAGAATTTCCTCGTATGTGGTGAGAATGTTTCTACATGAGCTTAGCATTTGAGTCAGTAGGCCAAGTAAATCAGACTCAGCCTCTGCAGTGTGAGCTGACACCATTCAACCTGCTCAGGCCCTAAATTGACCAAAAAGGCAGAGGAAGGGCAAATTCATTTTTTCTTCTTGAACTGGAACATTGAGTTCCTGATCTGGCCTTTAAACTCTGGGAATGACATCTGTGCAGTTCCACAAACCCATGCCCCATGTTCTTAAGCCCTCAGACTTGACTGGAAATTATACCGTCAGTTCTCCTAGCTCTTGTACCTCCACAGCAGGACTGAGTTAGGCTACTGGCTTCTCTTCTTCTCTAGGTTACACATGGCAGATCCTGGGCTTTTTGGCCTTCATAAGCTCATGAGCCAATTCTCATGATCCCATAGCCCTTTGTCTTTTTCTCTACATAGATATCTATAAACACATCTATCTCTCTATATAGATATGTAGATACAGATATTGGCTCTGCTTTTCTGGTGAACCCTAATAATTGGTAATCTATTACCCTCCGTCATCTGACATCAAGAATACTTTGTCATGGGTTTTTGTGTTACTTGGGCTATTTGCTTAATGAGTTATCAATGGTCAATATTACAGTCTTCCTGAAGTCAGTCCCTGTGATTATAATGATGAGAATTATGTAGCAGTGAAAAGTGACTTGTATTTCAGATGAAGAAGTCTGGAGGTAAGTCATCCTAGGGCCCCTCAGTTGAGACTCTAATGCTGTGATCCATGGTTGCCTTTTAAAAGATCACTCTGTGGTCCAACATCACTGCTACAGACCACTACAAAAGCTGATTGGTTGTTGGGAAAGAAGGAGAGTAACCAGCAGTGTTTGCCATAGTGACTTGCTTCATTTTCTTTTATTTTTCATCATTTGAGTATTTTCATGCTAGTGGGTATTTGAATACATAAAGAATGAAGTGAAGAAAAAGATTGATTTGCCATCACAGTTACCTAGCTATAATTTCCACTTTTATCCATAGCAAAATTTGTTGAGCAATGAGCTAGATACTTTATATAATTGTCTCTGAATCTTGCTAGCACACCTCCCAAAGTAGACATTGTTTCTATTTTACAGATGGGTAACCTAAGCTTCAGAATATGTTTTAATGTGTATCAAACAATGCATAGTGCAAAATGATTAGACTTTGTGTGGCATACAGGGATATTAAAACTTTTGTTCTATTTTAATCCGAAGTCTTTCACGTTGGATACATGGCACTACATTTTTTCCTTTACCAAAGTTTTCACAGGCAAAACAAGCTTCATGAGATCAGAGATGATCCGAGACTATTACAAGGCATTAGGGAGTCATACACAACAAGTGAAATCCAACCCTAGAGTCCTCTGATTTGGTGGGTCTTGAAGGGCCTGGGAATTAATAATTTGGAAAATTGATACGCTTCTCGATGGGTGAGCTTCTGGCACAAGAACAGCTTTCTAGAAAAGCTATGCTGTTCTTAATTTGGTATCTTTTTTTGGACTGAAAAGTCTGTACCTATGTTTGTGCTGTCATACTGAACAGCCATCTCCAAATTTCTTGTCACAGTGACACTGTTATTACTCTCCTGGGGAATGCCAATATAATTTTATTCTGAAAAATTCTTAAGATTGTTGTTTCTCAGGATCTGGCTCTCACCTTTTTCTGGATGGGCCCAGTTGCATCTTTCAAGGTGCCACTGGGGCTTGTAGGACCAGCTGTCAGTGGAGGAGCTGAGAAGTTCTGGTACATTTTGCCCTTCTGAAGCCTGGTGAGGGGAATGAAGAGGAAACTACAAAGAGCACAAATCAGCAGGTTGGATTTCAAAGAACAAACATAATATTCCAGGCATAACTCCTCTATGTTTATGCTTACAAAGGCTGTCTTTGCAAGAACTCTGTGACTCCACGTACACTGTTGCCCCTCTACAAATCAGCACTAATGACAACACTATAATTAGGCTTCAAAACAAAGGCAATGAGAAGTCGCATCTTAAATATCCTTTTTTGGTTGCTCTAGGGGTGTTTTTTTTAGTTCAGCATAGGAGAGTAGATGCTCTCCAATAAACACATCTAAAATATATTCATCACAACGTAAAGCCCAGCGTTTAACTTTTTGCCGCATTCATTATGAATGAGGATGAATCCCTGGAGGGTTGGACATTAGACGTGGTGATGGGGCAGGAAATAAGAATTCTCTTGGATTCTCTTCACAGCGCAGTTAAGCAGGGCTATGGAGGCACTTCACTAAATCTTTGGAGCACAATAGAATGCGAATTTTTACAGAGTGTGAACTTCTTCATTTCTCATGTACTCAGTATTAAGCAACTGTGTTTTAAAAGATGATAGGTCTATTTCTGCTGGCATAATAATAGCCATGCCAAGTTTTCGTGTGACCCTTATTTTTCAGGCAGCATACCAGGGGATTTAGAGTCATCACATCTGGTTTTCATAGTAAGAGGAGGAGACGAATATTGTGAAGTACCGTAAGAATGTCTAAGCAAGAGCATAAAGCGTTGCATCACCAGCGAGTGACAGAACCAAGATCTAGACTTACACGGCTCAGGGTCCTTGCTCTTATCTCTATCTCTAGCTCACATCACTCTTGATGAAGGTTCATTTGATTGAAAGTAACAGAAGCCCATTTCTGGATTCCAGACACCCAGTTTAGACCACACTCTGGATTTAATAAAACTAGTATAACTGAAACCTACTTTATATATTAAAAGAATAATTTTTTTATAGAGGCACAAATGCCTCTTGCTATACCCTAAATTAACCAGAATTAGCCCTCAAGCTCAAGTAGGACTGAAGGAGTTCTTATCATTGCTTTTCTGTTTACCTCAGTTCTGTTTTCCTTCTTGCTACCATGGGTTTCTTCTGGATCCTCTGTCAACTCCCCCAATATAATGCAACACATTTGTCTGAGTTTAACACCATACAGGCAGGCACTCAGCCAGAGACACTAGCTTCAACAGTCCTAAGAAGTGGAGACATAGTTTAAAAAAGCTATTATTTTTGTACTCATAAATGGGGGACCATAGGACAGTGAAACTGCTGAAATATGGCTGCACCCACACTGGCCAGATTAGAGAAGGCTTTGTCTGCAATCTATTTTCAGTGTCAGTTCCAAACATCCATTCATTATTGACAAATCAATTAGACTTTCATTCATGTAAACATTTTTTCATTCACTTACTCATTCATTCACCCATCTATTCATTTGCTCCTCTATTAATTCAGTTATTTTTCATTCAGCATACTGAACAGAAGCAGGCTGAAGCAGAAGCAGACCTTAATTATAGAAGCCTTCCCATTGTCTCTGAAATAAAATTCAGACTCCACATCACGGCTTTCTTTCTCAGATATCTTTTACTTTCTCTGCATCTCCTTGAGGCTCACGCAAACTTATAATACCTTTTCACCTTGTTTATGTGATGAATGAACATCTCCTGGATTTAAAGCAGAATTTCAGTATTCTCTCCTCAACCTCTTCTGTGTAACTTCCTCCCTGTCCCCAAAGCAAAGGTAAGTGACTTTTCCCTGATGTCCTTACAAGCTCAGGGAGTCTAACTTCAGGGTGGCCATTAACTTTCAGGGTAACCATGTGCCAGTGAGGGACAGATGGCCCTCCTGGAGGCTCTTTGTAAATGCTAGTTAGTGTACAAATCTACACTTTCTGTGATGAGAGGTGCATCCTGTCATTCTTGGCATCACTGAACAGAGCAAAAGCTGAGTGGGAGGGTGCAGTGCCCGTGAACTGCCTCTCCCATAGGGCCCTGCACGTGCTTGTGTGCTTGGCTGCCTTTGCACTCTAAGCTCAAATTATATCTCACTAGTGTTTTCTTGTTTTTTTTGACTATTACAAAAGTTCATTTAACAAAATTTTAATATATGAAAATGTGTATGACCCAATCTTCAGTCAGTGAAAGTAGCACTTGGAGGAGGGGCATGAATTTTTCTGCCGAGCAGTCATTATTTAAACTCGTTCCAAGGCCTCCAACACCATGACACTATTTCCTCGTATTACCACCATTCCAATGTTGTTGTGTTGCCCACTAGTTGCTATCTCCACACATTCATCTATCACAAGATTCATGAAGGGATCAAACCCTCGCAATATTCCTTGGACATGTCTGCCACCATTCAATTTCATTTTTCAGCTCGGGAGGGTGAACTTTGCTCATCTTGTCTCTTTCTTGGTGTTTAGTAGAACTTTTGCTATATTTTTGGTTTTCAATAAATAGCTCTTGCATCAATAAAAGAGTGAAATATACGGCAAGAATATTAATTGCTGTAGAGAAATCATTTGTATATATGTGTGTTCCTACACCAAAGACATTAGACGCTTTTGAGCTCATTTGTTTTCCACTATCCACTTCATTCTCCATTTATGTTCATGTTTGATTTCATGAGTTTTTATTATAGAAGTCTATGGTCATTTTGGAAAAATTAGAAAATTGAGTAAATAAAAATAAATTATAATGCCACTTCTCAGGAGTGACAGCTATTAATATCTACCTTGCCAGGAGCAGAAACAGTATTCAAAAGATATACATTATATATATATATATATATATATATATATATATATATATATATTTTTTTTTTTTTTTTGGTGGAACTGGGGATTGAACTCAGACCCTTGCGCTTGCCAAGGAAGCGCTTATTCTACTGAGCCATCTCCCTGGCCCCCTACATTGTATATTTTTGCATCCAAAAAATATACAGTGATGTGTGTTAGTTTAAAAGCAAATCTGATCATCTGCCTTAAGTTGTGGTTAGGGAAGTGTACAAATTTATAAATTGTGAAGAAATAGCCAGGAATAGTGAGAACTTGGTCTAAAATTAGAGTTTCTAACAGTGATACAGGCTGCTCTGGGAGACACTAAGTTCCATGGATATATTAATAAAAAGATTAGAAGATGCCTTATTTGCATGCTATATAGGTGAATCATGCATATGGCAGTCATCAGATTAGGGAATAAAAGTCTGAGATTCTGATCCGTTTGGGGAATTCTTAAGTGCTCCAAGAGGAGCCCTTGTTTGCAAAAGTATCTGCCATGTTGAGAGTCAGGAATATGCAGTTTTCTTCAGTCCTGCTTGAGCCAGCATAAAACTCAGTGGCATCCTCTTGGAGAACAATCTCTGGATATACTCTTGGGTTTACTTACACTTTTCATGTTGATAGATGAGTTTTCATTCCACAATGTGTTAAAGTCCAAGATGCCTAATGTAGTCATTGTGCGATTAGCATTAAATTAGTTATGAGATAAAAATGAAACAAATTTGGCCTTTAGAAAATGAAGACTTTCATACAAGGCCAAACTTGAGGGAAAGAAAGCCAGAGAACATTTCAACTCAAAAAGCAACTTGTTTTGCAAAAGGAAGTTGGAAAATTACAGCCCATCATACTCAATTAGTGTGTACATTTGTGTTTGACTGCATTCTCTTCCAAGGAACTGTCTCCAAGTTCCTTCCCCTTCACCACTCTGCAGCCAAAAGAATCAACGGTTGCTGGTGAAACAGTCACTGGAATAAGACAATATTGTCCATTTCCTGACACGGTTGCTGGAGATACTGACAGATTGAGTTTTGTAGAGCATCCTGTTCCAAGCAACGTAATGGGTAGATGATTGTGAAAAATAGAATGGAAGAACACATAGATATTCTCATAAAAGTTGAATGCATTGAACATATTTCTCCCTCAAACTTAGAGGGTTCAAGACTTGCTTTCAAGGCTGTAAAAAATGTACAAAAGTATAACATCTGTAAGAGATGGAGCTTATTTCCACCCTTTTTCTCTAGGGGTAGCCTAGATTTAGTGACTTGCTTCCAGAAAACAGTACAGATAGGGAAAAATAGGAACTTCATGCTGAGAAAACACTGCAAGCATCACTTTACTGAAGAAATAAACCAAGTGATGGCAACACTGAAAACATGTAGTTGTCGTGTACCCTTAATACATGTGGGGATGCATCCAGAATTTCTGAACACCCATAATCCCAGTATCAAATGAGAAACAAAATCAGACAACTCAGATTGGGAGCCATTCTACAGGATATCTTTTCACTATTATTCAAAACTATAATGGTCATGAAAAGTGAAAGGCGAAGAACTGTCATAGACCAGAGGGGACTAAGGAGATGTAAGAATTACTTGCAATGACTACTCTGGATTGGACATTAGAATAGAATGATGATAGTGATAGAAAAGCTGGTAAAAGCTAAGAAAGTCTAAAGTTTAATTAACAATAATGTAGACATGTCAGTTTCTTAGATTTTTTAAAAAAAATGTGTTTAGTGCAGGGTCTACAGGGTCTCACTGCACAGATCAGACTTGTAGAAATCCTCCTGTTTTCAACTTCCCAAGTGCTGGGATTCCAGGCATGTACCACCACTCGCAGTCTCATTCGCTGTCTCAGTGTGCCCCAGTGTTGGAGCTGGAATGGAATGGAAATTGAACCTTGGTTCCCTAGCATTTGCCAAGGCAGGCACTTTAGTCTATTGAGCTGTCTGGCCTGCCCAGTTTCTTAGCTTTTTTTTTTTTTTTTGGTGGAACCTGGGATTGAACTCAGGCCCTTGTGCTTGCCGGGCTGTTTCTTAACTTTTTAAGACATTCGTTTTTGGAGTACTAGAAATAGGAGCCAGGATTGCATGGAAGCATTCTACAACTGACCTATAATTCAGCTCTAGTTTTCTATGACAAATGTACCAGACTATGAAAGAGTTAACAATGGGGAAGTAGGGTGATGGATAGAAGGGAACTTTCTGTGCTATTGTTGCAACTTTTCTGTCAACGTGAAATTTAAAAATTCACCACAAAATTGCAAGGACACTTTTTATCT